GGATGTGCAGAAGGCCAGGGGGCATTTCAGTTATTTCACGAGGAACACAGTCAAATACAGGCAGGCACTGAAAAATTACAAATGCATTCAAACCTCTAAATGGGTTTATCCAGAGGCTGAATAGGTTGTTGTAAGTCGTTTTCTTTATTTCAGCTCCCTACAAGGCTATTTAAAAACAAGCAAGTCACGATTCAGCTCTAAGAGGACACTTACGGGCTCGCATGGACACAAGCTGGACACCTCTGCCAGGATGACCCTCTCCCTTACGAAACGCAGCCCACGATGCATCGCTCACGCTGACAGGCTTCACCAGTTTCCACAAAACAAAACCAAACCACAAGACAGAGATCCAGTCCCGTGGAGCGGATATTTACCCCAGCCTGTCGAGGCAGGTGGACGAGATGAGGTTATACTGCGAGCCGGTGTCCACCACGGCCTTCAGCTCCTTGCCAGCACACTTGGAGGGGTGAGTGGAGTTGGAAAGCCGTGTGTGGGAGGAGAGGAGGAGGGACACGCGGTTACAGGTTTGCAAGGAGTGTGCTGCTCCATGCCACAAACGCCAGCCTTCCCACGCACCCGCCCAGCGTGGCCCGAGCCGCACGTCTGGTGGTGGGTCTCGAGGAGCACCTGAAAACCCCCCGCACCCTTGCTGGCTGTGCCCAGCCCCAGCAGCCCCAATTTCTCATGGTACCCTCATCCCTGCTGGGGTGACGCCAGCCCATGGAGGAGGGACGTGCCTGGGGACAGCAGCGGCCGGCACTGGGGCCGACTCACGGCCCGTGGGATTTGCACGTGGCCCCCAGCTGCTCTTAACACTGCGACCAAGTTCAGCTACAGCAGAGCCAGTGTCATAACCTGCAGGGGAGGAAGACGGGGGGTAAATTGCTGCAAGTTGTTCCATTGCCCTTACAGCCGACTGCTTTCTCTTCCGCAGCTGAACAGCAATTTGTCAAAGACATTAATGGCTAACTAATGGCTGTTTCAAAATAATGTGTTATGCTAGCATCCCAGCTGGGAAAACAAGGAAAACAGGAGCGCTGCTTGAGACTGTCAGAAATAGGATTTGGAAAAAACCCTGGACGTCAGGGAGGGAGCGTTACCTGGCAGCTCACCACTATGAGCTCCTCTTCCTCCGTCCTCTTGGAGCTGCCCAGTTTGGTCTGATTCAGCTTATTGGGGACATCGTTCTTGGGAGCCCAGGTGCCTCGGCTGCTTCGTAATTTTGACAAATTTGTTTCCATTAGGCGTCTCTGCAGGATATTATGCGGTTGCTTTAAGGACAAACAGAAAGAGACAGCAGAGTAAAGCAAGTGGGAAGCAACAAGGTGATGTGCGTTGCCAACCTGCTGCGCGCTCCGTGGCGCCCTGGGCCCTGCTGCTGTCAGGCGAGCGCTGCCCTAGGGTCCCGCTCTCCCCGTGTTTAGAAACTTTCTCCTCATTTCAGACTAAATACACTCTTCCTAGTTTAAACCTATTTGTTCTTGTGCCAGTGCTGGCTTACCTGACTTTAATCAAAGAGAGCCACTTTGTATTGGCGAGGGTATAACGCTTTTAAAATATTAACCAGAATTTGGAGGGATGCCTTTGTTTTTTCCACTTCAGATTCAAGATTTGATTTCCAGATAGGAATCAAAACAAGTCTGGGTTCTCAAAGACGCTGTTTCAGCTGAAACTACCCCAACCTGTAGACAGGAGTATTGGGAATTCTGCAGCAAAGTGAAAAGTAAAGAGGTAGCAAATTACCTTCCCAATTACATGCACCAAGCATGTATGAGAAAAGCTTCCTGAGTTACTGAACGCACACGGAGGCTTTCACTGCTACTGCTGATATATGACATAACTGGGTCCAATCTCTGCCTCTGGCGATGCTCCTCATAGGAACGGACGCAGGACTTAACAAGCCAATTTGGGGTGCGTACCTCGGCTCTTATGGGGCAAACGCACAAGGCACACCTGCAGAAAGATGGCCAAAAACGTTGTCTATCGTCAGACCTAGTCTGGCCTTCGGACCAGGATCTGGTCTAATATAAGGCTCTTGTCCTGCCTGCCTTGCCTCCATGTAGCGATTTAGCTGGTAGGAGCGAGGGAACAGGACAAGCCCAGGGTGCCCGGCCCCGCCGCAGGAGAGGAGAGGTAAAGTCACCCGAGGAAAGGATGTGCCCAGGAATCCCCATATTCACGGGTCTTTTCCTCGCTGCCAATGTCATTTTCACTTTCTCCACGACAAGCCTGTCCCCTCTCAATATCGCTTCTGACTGCTTTCCCAAAGCCTTTTTATATTTAACATTAGTCATGGATGGATGCACATACCCTGCTGGGGGTGAAATGACTCTGCCTGAGGAGCTGCTCATTTCTCCGCCTGCCTAAGCTTCCCCCCTTTACACTGCCCTTTCCTTACGATTTTAATTTGACAATGGTGAGACCTTCTTACCTTCTCAGGCTTGAATTTTTGCCTTCATATTAAATATGCCTGTGTACCTGCAAAGGCATCGAAAGCAATAAACCTCCTAATGCTAAGGGAATTTCAGTGAGATTAGGATACTTTTGAAAACCAGAGGCTCTCATTCCCTGAGCAGCACCCTTGCACTGGATGCCTCATCTCTGAGATGGGCTGCGCAGCATGTTAAATAACAGCACTTACAAGAGACTAATGTAACTTGGCATCTTCCTAAAATAACTGAAGCAATGTTGGTGCTTCAGATTCTGTTGTAGGCATAACACTTACAGTTAAACTGGACTTGACTGAGGAGATCAGGTAGATGCAGTAAATACTAGTGGTCCCTGGAACATATATAATCTCCCTTTTTCCACTTTTCACTGTTCTTACTTCTGTGACTTGGAAGGAAATAAAATTTCATCATGATTTTCAGTTGCAGAAGCTGTGTCTGCCTGGCACTCTTGAGAGCAGATACTGTGTAAATGAGACAACATAACTGTGTTCACAGCAGCTGGGAAGAATCAGATTCTGCATTACGCTGTCTCCTCTACTCACAAAAAATAGCAAGACAAATCCCATCACTGTGCTGCTCACATGAACTCCCTTCTTCCCAATAAAATCAATGAGACTAAACTACCTTTAATCAAGTTAAGTAATACCACTTTCTGTAGGCAGACTGGCTTCACTGTTCGTGGTACAACCTCTGCACTGAGAGATGAAGAAAGCAATTCAGAAATGAGTGCTCTCCTACATGAAGCAGAAATGCCAAGTGCAAGACCAGCACTGTTATCACCAGAGAGGCTACACACTTCAGCAAAAAAGCAAGACAGGTTTTAGACAGGATTTGCTGACAGCGGATGGCATGTCCTTATTATCCTTTATATTTTCCTGCAGTTCAGACACACATCTGGAAAACTTATTCTTGACATTACCAAAAAAAAAAAAAAAAAAGAAGAGTTGAAGAAACAGATGGATGAAGTTCCCAGCTGGATGAAAGACAGCCTGTTGCATATTGATCACCACCTTGCACCCAGCCCCAGTCAGCTGCAACCAGGACTGACTGAAATTTCTGAATGGTTGTAATCCGGGGCAGTCTGAATGCTCTTTGGATCTGCCTGGCCCAAAATGCATTGCCAGGTTCCTTTGCAAGAACATGCTAGAGGAGAAGAACAAGCCACTCACATGCCCATCATCGCTCTTTTGACTGTGTTCTATTACTGATTTCAACCTAAAAAATTCTTACTGAGTGTTCTCCTACAAGTCATTAACCATTCATAGGCTTTCTCAAGTGAAAAATACAGGCCCTCACAGCCTGAGGTAAGGGTCGAGTTTTATGAATCTTATATGAACTGATATGAACTCATCACTGAAAGAACAAAAATCCAGCATTCAGCAAACATGAGCTGCTAGCAGAAATGGGACCATCTTTTGTTGATGCTTGTTCTTCTGAAAGCTCCTCTGATTCCTGCCTTCAGGGGGACAAATGTTGCTCACATCTTGCTCCGATACATAAATAATCCAGCAAAATGGAGTTGAAATGATTCCCTGCAGCACCGTTCTGTCTAAGGCTGTTAATTAGTTTGCTTTAACTTGTATTTCCCTTGACTTCTGTGTGTAACGGAGTGAGGGATGTTAGTCACAGAGATGACTCAAGTGATGGATTCGTACTTCAGTAAACAGATAATGTGCCAGGGGACATTTGCAAATGCACATTTTGCTGAAAAACTGCAAGCAGACCATTTACGGAAAGAAAAGGAGGAAAACATCTCCAGTGACAGAGATCTGTATGTCAGTAGTGGTCTCCCTTCAGTTTAGGTCGGCAATACAGCTGGTGCAAATGTTTAACGTAACCCAGATGATCAACACATTGCACAGAACTCTTGAGTTTGATGAAAGAATAAAATGCTATATGCCACTGTGTAAATCAAAAAAATACGTTATTTCCTGGTACTGTTTGGTACAAGATAAATACCAAGCAAGAATGTTTTTCACAAAATATCTCCCTCTCCATCCTCGAGAGCTTTGCAAAAAAGAAAAAAAAAAGAAAAAAGAAAAAAAACAAGGGAAAAAAGGAAAAAAAACTTAAAAAGTCACAGTAGAAGCCTAAAAAAAATGAGTTCTTTTCTGTGTCCATCAAAACCATAAATAACTCAGCCTAATTCTGTTCCTCTTTAATCCATAAGCAAACAAGCAGTCGCAGCTTGCAGCAGGCATCTCCTCGGCAGGGCTCCTCATTGCTTCCGCTGCCTCTGGGAACAACAAGCCCCTTCACAGTGGTTTCACTCAGGTGAAGGTGAAAGTGGCGGCCCAGGAGGATTTCAGTCCCGGCCCTTCCAGAGCCTCACAGAATCACAGAATGGTTGAGGTTGGAAGGGACCTCTGGAGATCATCTAGTCCAACCTCCCTGCTCAAGCAGGGACCTCTACAGCATATTGCCCAGGATCGCATCCAGACGGATTTTGAATATCTCCAGCGAAGGAGACTCCACCACCTCTCTGGGCAACCTGTGCCAGTGCTCTGTCACCCTCACAGTAAAGAAGTTTTTTCTCAGGTTCAGATGGAACTTCCTGTGGTTCAGTTTGTGCCCGTTGCCTCTTGTCCTGTTGCTGGGCACCACAGAGAAGAGGCTGGCCTCATCCTCTTGACACTCCCCCTTCAGATACTTGTACACGTTGATGAGATCGCCTCTCATTTTTTTCTGGACACAGTACTCCATGTGAGGCCTCCCCAGGGCTGAGGAGAGGGGCAGGATCACCTCCCTCGACCTGCTGGCAACACTCTTCCTCGTGCACCTCAGGATACCATTGGCTTTCTTGGCCCCAAGGGCACACTGCTGGCTCATGCTTAACTTGTTGTCCACCAGCACTCCCAGGTCCTTCTCGGCAGAGCTACTTTCCAGCAGGTCAACCCCCAGCCTGTCCTGGTGCATGGGATTATTTCTCCCCAGGTGCAGGACCTTGCACTTGCCTTTGTTGAACTTCAGGAGGTTCCTCTCCGCCCAGCTCTCCAGCCTGTCCAGGTCCCTCTGAATGGCAGCACAGTCTTCTGGTGTGTTAGCCTCTCCTCCCAGTTTAGTATCATCAGCAAACTTGCTGAGGGTGCACTCTGTCCCTTCCTCCAGGTCATCGATGAATATATTGAACAAGAGGTCTGTCCTCTCTTTTGCATGTAAATAGTAGAATAAAGGAGTTTTAACAGACAAGCAGGGCTCCTCCCAGGAGATAACCCATTTCTCTCTCTTCTTCCCATCCCTCGGCCAAATCCACCTCTTCTTTCAGCAGCCTCTGCCTGAGTTGTTGTCAGCCGCCTTTCGGAGGCGTCGCTCCTTACGCCACACGGGATCATGCCCGTCCCTGGCTTGGTCGTGCTGCAGCTGGAGACTCACGCAGCCCAGGTGCCCCATTCCCCCTTTATCATGCTTTACGCCTGTGCCCCCCGGTTTGGGGGGTCTATGAGCTGCTAAAGACAAAGCTAATTACCGTACCATTACTGAAGTGTTCCGATATTAACTTTTCTCGTATTTGATTCATCAGCAGTAAATCGAACCTCCCTGGCTGAGGCCGAGGGGACTGACTGAGGCACCTGCAGGTCGCCCCTTCAACCCTGCATGCCCCTGGGCATCCAGGCAGGGCTCAGGCCCTGGAGCACAGCTCCATCAGGGCCGAAAGCGCACCCCTGGGGCAGGTAACCGTTTGGGTCAGCTGAAGTGCCACATCTGTGCTGTGTTGGCTAGGCCTCCGCTGATGGCAGTGGGAGCACGGACACCTGCCCCACACGCAGGTAAATTTGGGTACCTGGCCCCACAAGCTGACGGCCGCCATGCTTTCCCCTGGGTCAGGAGGAAGCTGCCGGCTTTGCTGGGCGGGTGGAAAGGGAGAATCTCCTACGTCAGAACTAGCCACGGCCTCTCGGACCAAAAGCAAACGGGCTGTAAATCGGAAAATGCTCTATATATGCTGAAAGAGCAGGGAGCAAAAATTCAACACAATGAGGCAGCAAAATAAATTATCCAAGGTGCTGCAAAAGCAGCTTTTCCTTCCCCTCATTTTCCCTTACCTCTCCTCACCCCTGCCCTTTCCTCAGGCCATTACTAGCTGCCGGCCAGTCTCTCCGCATGTGCCCGCAGTGTCTGGGAGCAAAGCTCGTGTTTCCCCCGCCTAGCGCGCGCCAGGCAGA